GTTATGAGATGGGTAGTGTTGGACTTGTGGATCTGCACTTGTGTAATTCTAATCATATTCATCAAATATTATTCAATTATAAATCTGTCTCTTATACACATCTAGATGTGTATAAGAGACAGCATACAGGACATTTTATTGGTCAATGTGTTGTTCACTGAGAAAAGGTCATAGATGCACATAATATATACAAATAATGAATGTTTATGAGTGTAATGGGGTAGAATATTTCACGAGGTGAAAGACTGGATGTTCTTTTCAATGAGGTGAATAGAACATCCAATCTTTCACCTCATGAAATATACTACCCCATTATACGAATGAGAAACATTCATTATATGTTTTATACAACACCAACAGGATGAGCCTCGAAGAATACTACAAGGACCCATCTTCCTTTCGAAGGCCAGCATAAGACCATCCTAGGCTTAGGAATCGATCAAGTTCGGCTAATAATAGGCTCAAATCCTCACTGCTGAAGGTGGCAAAATACTCCATATGTTAAACTGTGTATGTTACTGCCTATTTTGTTACATAATTAAATATATATTTATATATAATACAGTATATATTTTATAACATAATTCTACCTTTTTATTACATTAATAAAAATATGTTTAAACTTCAGCATTACATCTTACTTTCAATGCATGTCTGTTCTTGATTCTGACAGCTCCTAGACTCACAACATGCTCATCATCAAAGCAAAAGTCACTCCGATTCCGAAACAATTCCACATGATCACCACTCCTACCTTTGTCATTCATCCAGTCTAAAAATGAAACGACCAGCACATTGTAGACAGCATCCGGAAGGAAATCTGTGGGAGTCACATAAAACGATGCCGTTTGCTGCTCGTCTTCCCTAACTTTCAAGCCCTCTTTATTGATTTGCATCCGAGTGGGAACAATGAAGATTCTGTTACCAGGTTGAGATACCTTTGAAAACAAGGACTAATGTAGCATATTATGAATCTCAAAAAAATTTGAAAATTAGAGGTAACAGAAGGAACCATTAACAGAAGGCATGTTGGCACAGCGGCAAAGCTTTGCAATTTCAAGAGAGAGTTCGGTCAGATTGCTTGTGCCCTTGGAAAGATAATTACATTTTTATCTCTTCATCCAGGAATATGAATGCGCAGGTATGAAACTGGCAGCGCATGTTTAAGTGTTGCTGCCATATTGGTGCAGGACCAGGCAACACCCCTCAGACAGCTTTTTATACTCCTTGGTGAAGAGAAAAAACGTACAGTAGATAAAGCGCCTTGCTCAAGGACACAAGTGAAATGAACAGGAAAGGATTAAAACCCCGACTTTAAGGTTGGGAAACCAAACCGTTCCTGCTGCGCCAAACCGCTATAAATCCTGTAAAATAGTGATAATGACAATTGTATAACAAGAGCCTTGCAGGCATCAACGTTCCTATGCATGATACATGACTTTATCAGAAAATATAAGGTTGGGTCAAATTTGTGTGGTGGTTTAATTTGAACAATTCAGGAGTGAGTTTTTATGGTCCAAAATAGTGATATTGATAGGCAAATACAATAGTAGAATAAAAAAAAACACTTTTTTATTTTTTAGTCCTATACAGTATTTTCATTTTACAGTAGTTTGAAACAATATCGGGGGTAGGGGAGCTGGCATGTCCTACTAGACAACAATATATAAAACCACCTTAGCAGGCATCAACTTTATGCTGTATAATGGTGAAGTTATGTGACTGAATTTTATACACGAAATACTTCTATTAGAAAAGATATTTAGGCCATTTGCTGTGTTATGCTGTGGTTGCGAAAATGTTGGCCTATAGGCCTACTTAATACATCAACTGTAATACTATTATCACTATGGATTGTTTTTAACTTTCGCAGGGACGTATCCACTTAAACTTTTGAAGTAAAAATATATAAGGCAAAAATAAAATTACAGTAATATAACAATATTTCGTATTATTTCAAAATTATTATTTAATATTAAATGCAGTATCAATAAACACAATACTTTGTTATGTTAGTACTGTTTGCACGAGAATGTTAGTGACACCATTGATATTTTCCACAAGGGCAATGTGGGACAGTATGACAAGATAGAGTGCAATGAAAATAAAGTGATGGATGGTTAGTTAGAAAACTTATCCCAAGGGCATTAGGGATGTCACTGTCCGTAAAACAAAAATGTCCGAAAACCTTTCCTGAAGATGTCTACACACACACACACACACACCCACACACACACCCACCCATACACACACACATGCAAAAAAGTGAATACAATAGTTCCTATTGCATTATGTGCATAGGAACTAAAAAATAATAACATGAAAGGGTTTACTTCTGCTAAACGATTAGAACCAGCTTACCTTTTCTTGCTCAAACAGTAACCCAAACATCTTCAACATTTCTAAAAATACCTCTAAGTTGCTGGCATCTTTCGCTATCTCATGTCGCCACAAATGATGTAGCAACTGTTCTTGTAGAATTCCCTCACGGTCGAGTTTATACCACTGCTTCAGTATAGGCAGCTACAAGAAAATATGAAAACATAAAATGCATGCAATTCACAATAATTGTAAATATCATAAAAATGATTAAAAAAAATATTTATAGGAGATTGTTATATTGCTTACCGTGTCAATATCATCTGGTTTCACTACTGTGATGATTTCCGTCACGACGTCGATCATCATGCGCAAGTTTGTAATAACTGTGTACTTTAACTTCTCATTAGTCTTAGAGTACAGAATTATTCCGGTGTCATTTAGATAATCGAGGACAGTGTTGAGCGTTGGTTTAGAAATTCCACATTCAGATGCAATTTCCGTGACCTTAAAATGTTGAATGAAAAGAGGATTCCATTCATACAAATGCAAGAAATATATTGTAGTCAGCTACCTTGCTTAATTTGACCCTTTTATACAATGGGTTAACCCAACCAATGCTGATTATTTCTTGCTTTATATATGTTGATTAGATTTCCTCCCAAAATTATTATTCTAATGCTCATTGGCTCTTGCCTTATATGTTAATTTAAAAAGCTTTGAAGTAGTTGGTAGAGAAAAGTAGGGCAGAACTATTAGTGACTCCAAATTGGCTGGATGTAAATTTGCTGTGTTCTATTTTATCACTATAACAACTCCCTAGTTATACACACCTCCACCCCCCCCCCCCCGGCCTAGCGGTGACCCCAGGCCTAGCGGGGACTTAGCCGGGGATGTAATTTTCAAAACTGTTTCATGCATGTAAAAGTCCACACCACCTTTCGGCAGTACGGGGCATCGTTTTAACGGGGCATCGTTTTAACGTATCATCCGGCTAAGTCCCCGCCACTTACCGAAGTACAGTCCATGTAAAATGCCAGTAAAAGGTTCAGTTTTTTTAATGTAATTTATACCATGATCTATAAAAAATGAAACTATGAAGGTAGACATAAAGTACTGGTAGGTGATTTTTTAATTACCAAAACAGACAGTGTTGACTGAATGCCAGGCCCGGTTTGACAGCGCTAGGCTAGGTCTACACACCCAAAACCTTGGTACTACGTGTAAAATTCCCAGCTTTCGAGTGGCCTGTTACATCTACGGGTAAATTTTAGGTATGTCCGGCACTACAGGGACACAATTATGTGTACATCCCTGGCTCAGTCCCTGGAAGTGCCCGGCTATGGCCCGGGTCCGGGGGGAGGGGACTACAATTGACAAGTGCATTATTGATAACTAGGCTGTTCAACAGTGAGACTTGAGCTCATAGGCATGAGCTGGGAGAAGGGTTTGAGAGGGGTCCCCCTCCAAAATTAGACTTTTTTTGAAGAATAGGAACCTCTGAATGGCGGGAAGTCGCACTCTCAAGACTGTGACAGACATGTTTCCGCTTGGTGTGGGTCTATTTTTATATTTTTTATGGTTTCACTGCCCAACAAACTCTGTCAAACATGTGAGGGGGGTTAGGATACAAGAGAAAGAAATTTATGAGATGGGTAGTGTTGGACTTGTGGATTTCTATTCACATTCATTAAATATTATTCAATTATAAATATTATAAGGAAGCATATGTTACCTCATCCAAGGAAACACAGAGTCTTGTTTTTCCAACATCTTGTACTTTGGACTGGAAATCAACCCAAGTAGTGGGAATAGGTTTTGCCGTTGCCTTCATGTA